GGGACTGCATTGGCTGGGCGCAGATCTTCCTTGCTTGCCTTGCTAGACTTGGCTTGGCTTAGAGGGCATTGGTACAGCTCAAACGGGTCTATCGTCGCTGGCCGGTAATAGATGAATGATTTCTAAGAGATCCACACTTAATCATTTCCTAGAAATTCTGGATCATTGCTCGTCAATGGTAGACGTCTGGCTGACTGATTGGCTCGGCCGCGAGTGGAAAGAACGTCGCTCGTCATGACTGATTGCACTCTCACTCATCTCATCATACTTAGGCATTTTTAGCCAAAATTGTTGCTTCAAAAGGCTAAAAATATCAATAATATTCACAAGCAGGCTTTGGATCATATCAAGCGAAACATATCAATAAAGCATGCCATAAATCTAATATTGTGATGGTTCTCACATAAAAATTCAGGAAATACATAGTTTTATCAAGTTATAAATATGTTATTATTTGAAGTTATCTAAAAGTATTTTCTTTATCGGGTGATCTAGAAATTGTGCTTGCAATTTAATTATTTGTGGAAGTAGTCTAGAAAAAGCTAGATTGCGAGTAGATAACAAACATACGTCTGACCATCGCGTTTATGCATTAATTAGTACCATAAAATATTTGAAGGGTTCATACGGTGGATCAATAGGTCCACAAATATCACCCTAAATTTGTTAAAAAATAGTTAGGGATTCAATTCCAACCTTTGTTGGAGATGGCCTTACTATTAACTTTCTTTGAGAACAGCAACACAAACAAATTTATTCGGACTCAAAATATTTTATTTTTTTCAATGAGTGGCCATTTAAATTTTCAACAATTTGTCTCAGCATTACATTGTCAGGATGCCCAAGTCAATCGCCCCAAGTTTTAAATTCGCTAATAGTCATTCGGTTTACTAGGTAATATGTTTCAACGACACTAACTTTTGAGTAATACAAGCCATAAAAAAATAATGACAATTTTTCTTTTACAATTCTTTTGTCATTCACAATATGAGTTATCAGGAATACTCATTTTTTTTTATTCAATGTTTCAATGTTATACTCATTTTTCCAAATATCACTAAACCTCAGTAAATTTCTTCGAGCTTTCTCGAGAATAAGGCATTTTCAATTGCCATTTTTTTCCCTATAGGGAGAAATACAATAGCTTTTCTTGATCCTTCAATCAAGTTCGATGCATCACTGATAATAAAAATAATGGTCTTTCTCATATTTAAATGGGAGAAATAACTTTTATTTTTCAAAATGTTGTGAGTCGTAGCACTGTCGATAAGGCAGATATTGTCATCGACTCCAAAATATTTGACATCCATATCTTTGCAAGAAGGTAAAAATAATAAAATGCATGAATTAGTAACAGAATCAAAATAGACTAATGTTATAAGGGGTATTAAAAAAAGGGGGCATAAAGCATCAAAATAACAAAAAGAGATACAACGAAATTTTATCATTTAACATCATCAGCTATATCAAGTAGATCATCGGTATCCAGGTGCGTGATATCTTCATTAAGCACACCATCAAATGTGTCATCGTGGCAGCGTGATTTGTTTCGGCAGTAACTCTTCATTGTCTTTCTTTTGAGGCCTGATACAATTTAGCCAGTTGACTGGTTGTGCGAGAAACATGGGCCCAATGGCCTTTGATTTTACACCGGGTGCATTCCTTTTCATTGTTTATGTTTCTCCTGGTATTAGATCTTTGTTGAGGTCTATATGGCCTTCTATCATTGTAACACTAATTCGCCACATATTGGGACATGTTCTATTAATTGTTGTGAGTATATTAGTTAGTCCGGCCCTGTCTGCGATTATAATTTTGATCGCAATCAATTCTTTGATTTCTAATATGTCTACGACCACACACCGGATTTTCCGAATGTATTGCATTTACCTCTGGAGATGGGTTTGCACATGTCGAACGAGATTTGTAATTTTTCCACAGCAATTCATTATTTTATTAGGACAACAAAAGACAGATGATCAACTCATAATATTTTTGGAAGTCTTTTTTGCAATACTGCTACTACAAAACAATGTTAGAGGCATAAAAAGTGAAGAAAGTTTTCTCCATCATATCAGTTTCAGATATATTTTTGGCACTGTGGCGCAGCTATGATATTAATTTAAACATGTCATAATTATATTCTTGGATTGTTTAAAAGTCCTGAAGTCGTAGGCTTTACCATTCGCTTTGTGCCATTGACAACAAAGTCAGCTTCATATGATTGTATCTTTCTTTTCAATCTCCCACACGATTCAAGTGGGGATTCCAGCATCACATATTGCATTTCCAATGCTTCATCGATGTGATTACATAAAAAGATATGGCATTTGCACGATCTTGGCTCGTGAAATTTTTATCTCGGACAACGTTATTTTCCAAGCCCATTAATACCAAATGCATTATAACATCGCGAGCCCAGACTGTATAGTTATGGCCAAAAACAGAAAGAGTGATACATTAATGTTTTGCAAGATTAGTCATAATATATAAATAATGTATAAAATTTTACCTTACAGAAATTAAAATATATAATTGTGCTGATATATATTGTAATGTTAGTATAAAATTAACCAATAAAAATATTAATTATTTATAATATTAACCATTATTTTACATGTTATATATATAATATAATATATATACGTTGTATGTGTGTGACGAATTGTGTATTATGTAAGTATATATATTAATATGTATATGTGTAAATGTGTGCATAGATGTATTATGTATATATATAAATATAATATATATTATTATGTAACGTGGGTGCAGTAATAAGTAAAGAAAAGAGAGAGATTTGAGTGGTAGGCAAGAGAGATAAAGATGGGAACTAGTTGCATTCCTTTTACTTTCATACAACATGGTATTATGAATTTTATCAACAAATCAAAAGCTGCCACATATCTGGTAACAATGGCGGCATCCACATAGTGATTAGAATGTATATGAGTATACACCTTGTTGTGTCTACCTGTATAACATAAATCACTTTGTTCACCAAAACTACTTTTTTAATGACAATATATTAAAAATTTAATAAAATATATAAATGGAAAAAATATAGATAAATCATAAAGGTTGCAAAAATAAGTATAATTTAAAAGTCTGATTCCAACCTGATACGAGAAAATGGTGCTTGAGTCTCCCGAAATAGGTTTAAAATTTTTCGGATCATGTCTGGTCCGACACACTGATAAAGCGGGCCGTACACGGGCTTATGAAAATCGAGACATGTCTGGCCTGACTTGGCTTATTAAAATTAATATAAGTTAATATATTTATATGTATATTAACTAATAAAATAATAACAAAAATTGTGTTATGGCTTAATGATAAAAGTTGTTTTTCTTATGTGGCTTTTAAAGCCCGGTTTGCAGCACACTTCATAATCGGATCCGACTGGCTCGGGATGAAAAAATCGAACCGGCTCGAATTACCACCACTAAATCACTTTGTTCGCCAAAACTATTATATTAATAACAATATTCAAAACATTATTTTTATATTATTGATAATTTATACATCAAAAAAATATATATACTAAAGAAACAAAATCACCCCGATATATCAAAATAAAATTATTAAAAAATATCTTAAATTCATTAAATAGTTATACATTGTCACCATCTTTGTAAGAATAATTTATTATTTTAAAATATTGGGTTAATTCACTTTGTATATTTAAACAGCATTATTCTTTATAAATATTATCAAAATAATATAAAAAATATACAAACTTAACATAATATGTATTATATGTATATTTTTTTATTTTAAAAAAATAACAATTTTATATAAAATATTATTTTCTTATTACTTATATAATTTTCAAATTTAATATAAAAAAATTCATCCTAAAATGCATAGTAAAGTGAAAAAAAAAAAAAAAAAATACATGGTAATGTAGTATATAAATATTTGTGTACCTTATTGAATGGAAAGTAGTTATATAATCAAATAGTTAATAAAAACATATGCTTAATTGGTTCAAATATTTGAATGTTAAGAAAGTAATATGAAACTTACGTAAAATAATATTTTCAATTCATTATATACAATATATATCAAAGTTGTGTTGTCATCCTAACACTATAATGATATTTTAAGATAAACTACACATGACATGTTATCTTCAAATAATGTTCATATAATAGCAAAATGATGCAATATATTTAATACTTGAAATATTCGTTGTAACGAGTAAATTTAATTTTTTTATTTCGAAAAATTCAAGATGTATTCACTAATCAAGTTTAATCTCAATTAAAGAAATTATTTTTAGAAAACATTAATCACCTTATTTTGTCTATATTTATATCTTTCCTCCGTCCATTTTGAAATTTTACATTTATTTTTTTTTTGTGTTGATTTTTTAATATTAATTATTATATTTAGTACAAATAAAAAAAATTACAAAAATACTTTTATTAGTTTCTTATAATATAAATATAATAATATTTATATAAAAAGTAATACAAAGATAAAGAGATTTTTAATGTTAAGTACACAAAAGATAAATGTAAATTTATTAAGTGAATTGAAGAAAAATATTATTTTTTAGAAGTTTCCTTATATAATTATTTCCCATATTTCTTAATAAAAATCAACACATTTTTTTCCATAATCAACACAACAGCGTCACTACAAAAAAAATGACTATTTGTAGCGGAATCTTATCTACTACAATTGTTTTGTTACAAAAGCTATTTTTTGTTTCGAATATTTTCGTAACAAATAGTTTTTTTTGTTTAGTCAACCTTTTTCTTTTGTTGCGATATTTTTTTCGTTACAACTACAATAATTTTAAATTTAAAAATAAAATTAAATCTAAAATAATCTTAAAATAATATATCATATATACATATATAATATTTATATATTAATATATACAAATTAAAATTAAAAAATATATATTTATTTAAAATTAAAACTAGTATATACAATTATATACATATATAATATTTATAACTTCTAAATCTAATCCCTAAATCTAATTTCAAAATTCCTCCCCCATACGCACAGAGCCACTACTACCGATGCCGCCGCATGAATTCTCTTCGCCGACAACCGCGCAGCCTGCACACAGCCACCGCCGGCAAGAAGGTTTCGCACGCTTTGGTGAATCTTGTTCGAGGTATTATTCTGATTATTCCTAAATCATGAATCAATCTTTCTCCTATTTAGGTTTGATTTTTTTGGTATCAAGTATGTCGACGAAAGAAGAGGAGAACGCAACGGAACTTAAAATCCCCGATGGTACTTCTTTTCTTATTCAATTTTTGAAAGTTTTGGAATTAATCTAATTGTGGACTCCGGGTTTCTGATATTTTGTACTTTTCTTCAATAACTAAGTACCTGTGCATAGCTTTTGTCTAGTATTGTATGATTGATTTTGACCTCGGCGTGGTGAATGGTGACCCCTCATGAAATATGTCTTCATTCAATTATTTTTGTAGATTTGTTTGTGGTTTTTAGATTGTAAAGTTTAACCCTAGGAATAAAGCTGACAGAAGAAAAGAATACTATTTGGTTAAAGTGTAGACAAAGTTTGAATCAATAAAGAAAAGGTCTACCTGTGACTATCATACAATACCAATTCGACCAATCGGCAAATCAATAAAGAAAAGGTCTAGCTGTGACTATCATACAATACCAATTCGACCAATCGGCAACTTAACAATGCGAAACTATTCAATTCAATCATTTGATTCTTTCTACTACTCAAAGTTTTATAAATTAATTAAGGTTTCTTTAAGGGAACCTTAATCAACCATTGTAATAATTGTCTTTTTCTTCAAATTATTGTCCCAAACTCAACTATAAAATTTGTCCATTACTATTTTTTTCTCTAGTGACATTTAGATAAGATAATAATAGGAACTGAAAAATGTTGCAAAGTTCACCTAAATCTTAGTTATTTATTAATTAACCCACTTCTCTTTTTTATTTTTATAATCCAAATGAGATTCTTATTCAATACCAATTTCATAATTCAGTCCATGAATTTAACCCCAAGAACTATCGGTGGTTTTCCACATGGGTTTATTATTGTAATAACTTATAGTGTTGTTTGGTGTTTTTCTTTTTTTTTTTTCTACTGATTTTTCAATCTTCTTGTCTGAGTGAGATCAGACTGTTGACTCCACATATAGCTAATATATATGTATGATTTTCATTATTTCACTTTAAATTCTTGCACTTCAATCTAATTTATCTGACCTTTAATATATATGTATTAAGCGGGTTTGTTAAAACTTAACCAAACAAACATAGCCTTGTCCAGGAAGCATAGGTCACTAAAATGCAGCCACTCACTTTGGTTATTGTTACTTGTTACTCATCCACATATCTATCTTATCTTTGAATTGAGTTTATTAATTAATTCGTTTGCACATAATTAGATACGTTGATATGCACACATTGTGTGTATGTGAATTGTGATAATCTATCTGCATATGTTGTGTATTTGTGTGTGCATCTTTATCCATGCACCACCACTTCGTTTGATGTTGAGTTATAGCAGTTGTGGCTGCTCCTCAACGTAACTATCATGGCTATCTATCTATCTATTTATTATATATCGAATATTTTTAATAATAATAATAATACACATGTTACTTCTTATTTTCCTGGTGTCATCATAGTGCCAGCTCACCATTCTTCAATAACACTTACTAATAGATTATAGATACATATGTATAAATGAATGAATGAATGAGATATGAGAAATAAGAATAAAATATTAATATTACAAGTTATGTTGTTGGATCTTGTTCATTGTATGTTAATCTTGAGATCCAAGTAAGTTCAACTTCAAATGCAAGTGCAAGTGCAAGTGCTTCATTGTGTATATAAAAGAATAATAATAATAATAATATCTGCCAAGGTGGAAGAAATGTCGAGTGACTGAGTGAGTAAATCAGTCATAGTGTTGCTAAAAGTAGTTAGAAATTCTCACGGAATCAATAATAATGTAGAGTTTTTTACAATTAATCCAATGAATTATTGGTTGATGTGGATGGTCATATCTACTCTTGTCTTGTCTTATCTTCAAGGTAACTTTCTTCTGCATATTTAAATTCACTGCACACATCCGATGCTGCAAACAGGTTGCGTAATTTAATCATTATACTAATGTCTTTCATGCATGCATAGTTTAATCAGGCCAAATTTGATTGATGTTTTTATTCCAGGTTGTGTATGGCTATTATAGATTAATATATATATATATATATTTAAATGACCGTGCTCTAGTTATGTCATTAGAACATTCCTTTAAAGTACATTGGCTCCACGGTTTTGGAATCAAATTGGAGATTTGTTGCTTCTTTAAATTTTTTTGTTCTTAGTTAATCAAAATTACTTTCCATGAATAAGAGAGAAATTGAGGTGCGTAATCTATTTAGGTGAGTCTGTGTAATGTTGTGCAAGAGTGTATCATTTTATCTTGTGATCATTGTTTTCTCAACCACGGTGTTGTATGTTTATTTGAGTGTTATCTCATCAAAATAATAGAACATCGTTGTTATAAAAGGTTTAATAAAGAATCTGATCAAAGTTTCAAATAAAATTGATGTTAGATTCTTTGTTTACTACATCAATAGTTAGAGAATGGAGCTTTGAACGTTTTTTCTCCGCTTAAACAAATTTCAGGTGTTGGTTGAAGGCGGAGGTAGCTCGAGAACCACAATTCTGAATATGTCACATTATCTTAATGCTCTTAACAACACTATGGTGGTAATATTGTATCCATCTATAATATGCTGAAAGAAGATAGAAGTATAATTTTCTTGTCTATTATATAGGTACACACAACCCTGTATGGACATATTATAGGTTATGTTTTCGATTCATACAGGGAAGCTAGAGACTTGCAAGCATTTCTTTGGGAGAATATATCGTTTTATATACTTTATTGGTGGTATGTAGTTGAAGCCATATGTGAGCATCATTTAGCTTATGATTGTTTTGTATATGTATTAATGTTGCAGTATTGATCATCCTATTTAAGATTATGAAATTTTGTGAGTTGCATTTTGTTTCCGATGATAAGCACGTGTTTTTTTTATATATACGTAAGTGATACCATTGACATAGTGAAGGTTTTTATCACGGCTGCTACAGTTTTGAAGGCCACGCTCAATCTACAAACGACATCTCGAGCGCAAACACTAAGGTTGTCCACGTCAAGCCAATCGACCGGACATTCAAAGATGTACGTAACTATTTTTATAACTTTCTATTAGATTATAACTTAACCATCTTGCAAGTAAATTCTTATATAATTTTGCATTATGTTGGCAGCTCGTTCGTCACCCGTAACAGCCGTATATGTTCACTCTGATGCTGGATGGGACGATGCAACATTGCACATATTTCTATGATGATTAACTTTTGTTTGTGGGTTGATACTGACTGAGTCATTTCTATTTGTTGAACTTGCATATTCTGGTTCTTTTTGTGTGTTTGTTGCTATGCTTTGCCCTTAGATTGTATATGTTTGTCGTATTGCAAAATAATTATGTTCCTAAAGAGTGCATACTTTGTGCAACTGATGGTGATATAGATTTGCTATAATACTTTTATATTTTGTAATATTTTATTGCATCGTACAGGTTTTTTTGGTTCCGATACTAATTTTTTTGTTATTACTAAAAAAATAAGGATACTCTTTTTGTTGCGAAATTATGGCCGTTACAAATACCGGTACAAAAAATATGAATGTCGTTTAACATTAGTTTTCTGACAATCAGCCTATTGTAACAAAATTATACCGTAACAAAATTCGTTACAAATGCATGAACATTTATTGTAACGATTCTTTTATTACGATAAATGTCCGCTACAAATAAATTGAAAATACATTGCTTGCGTTACAAAAACTGTTACAAAAAGATTTTTCACGCGCGTTGACCACCCACTTTTTGTTACGAAGAATGTCGGTACAGAGACTTTTTGTAACTCGAGTATATGCACTTGTCAAAATTCGGTACAAAATCGTTACAAATAGCTTTTTATAACGAAAAATGCCTATTTGTAACAGTTTTAAAGCCGCTACAAATAGTCATTTTTTTTTGTAGTGCGTGTTCTGTTTGTGAAAAAAAAAACACACATTTTCTAAAAAAAAACTAATGTTAGTATATTAATATATTTATTAATTTTATATTACCTACATATTTTATATATTTCATATAAAAAATAGTTTTTTCAAATCATTTAACAAAACAAACACACCCCAAATATATAAACGACATTTATATGATATTCACAGCCTTTTAATTTAGAAAAATTTCCAATTAGTTACTAAACAAATTGTGCTTATTAAAAAATAATGATGTATATATTGTTGCTTCTATTGTGATTGCAACGCTATAATAATGTTTTATTGCAATAAAAATAATGTAAGTTGTCTGAAATATTGTTTACTTAATCATAAACTGATGCAATATTTTCAATGAACGAGATGTTCATTATAATTGATAAGTTTAACATTTTTATTTTTTGAAATACAAAATTTATAATTAATAAAATCTGACCTCAATTAACAAAACTATTTTTGAAAAACAATATTTTTGCAGTGATCTATTTATGTATTATATTTAGAATATTCCTTAAATAAATAATTTCATATAATTATTTTTAAAAATTCAATAATTTTTCATAATCAACAATATATAACCATTTTTTAAATATATATATATACATGGCACTATTAAAATAATGTCTATTTATAGCGGATTTTTATCCATTGAAAATATTTAGTTGAAAAAGCTACTTTTTGTATCTAATAATTTTGTAAAAAATTATTGTTTTAACTTGGTCAACCCTTTTTTCTTTTTGTTGCGGTAGTTCTTCCGTAACAAGTTCAATTATTAGAAAATGTCAGTTCTATTTATATTTATTTTGTTCATTCAACCGTCACAAAAATAATAAAAAAATAATATTTTAAATAAAAACTATAATACAAAATTCAATTTAAAAATATTAAAAATTAAATATTAAAAATATTCTCGTTAAGATATTTTTTAATATTAATTATAAATAAAAAATTAAAAAATCTATATAAGATAAAAAAAAGTATATTAAATAATAATATCAAAAATATTCTTTTTATTAAAAAAACTAAGTAGAAATTAAAAATAAACATAATTTTATTAAAAATACATAAACAAATATTTATTAAAATAATACTCCGCCTCTAAGGTAATATTTACTTTTTGTGCCATTGTACTTAATATTAAAAATATTATTATATTTGTATAAAATTTTGTACAAATATCCTTCTATTAAATATAATAAGACACTAATAAAAGTATTTTTACAATTTTTTTTTAATTTGTACTACATTTTGATACAATAATTAATATTCAAATTTTAAGACACAAAACTAAAAGGACCAGCACGACGGAGGTAGTACTTTATATTTCTGTAACTTTGCCCTAATTGATTAGAGAATCCACCGCAGATTCTTCTTCTCCTCTATTCTATTATGTGCTTTCTTTCTCTTTCTTTATGATAGCATCTCCGACCAACCTACGACCACCGGCCCAACCACCAGTCCACAACGCAACCGTCACACCACAAAGCCTTGAGAAGACTCCTTGTGTTCCGCTGACCAGCGACGCCGCCTACCGTCACGCTCAACCCGAGCCACCACATTCGACTTTTGACCAGCGTTTTCTTCTCCGTCAGCCATGCAGCCGCACAGCCCCCACACCTAGCGACCTCATGCCGTTGCGACCTTGCTCGCCGTGCCTCCAGCCGTTCCGTGAACCGACGACGACCACCGCCCTAATCTTTAATCCTTGATTGGGTAATATTTCTCATCTCTTTGTTCTAATACTTTTAATTCAATTGTTGGATAATTTTCACTACGGCTATTGTGATTAGTATTTGAGATTGCATGTTGGATTTGAATTTGTTGAATTCCAAGAATTTGATGTGAATTTAGGTTTTAAGATTAGTTCGATTCTAACTCAATTTTGGTATATATTGTTTGGGTAGATGCTATTGGTATTATGAATTGGTGCTATTGATAATTGGACAATTGCTCACCATTTGGTAAAGCTGAAATATGTGGGTCAGGTAATTTTGTTTTTGGAATCTTAGGCAAACCTGTCTCCAACAGCAGACGAGCGTCCTTTGCTCTGTACCACGTTCCTATTATGCCAAGAAAAATAACACGATGATAAGGCAACTATGGCTTCCAAGTGCCATTGCTCACTGCTGCTAAATTGAGGTGCATTTTCTTCAATAAACAACAATGTGTTTGTTTTTTCTTGATGCATTGGTTGTTTACAACAATGTGAGTTTTATAGAGACTTGACGATGAAAGCCCACCGGGGTGTATGCATTGGTTGTTAGTAAGGATGATGAGTTAGTTCAACCTCCTTGTGGCCATTTTTCCAACTATGCATTCCCCCACTTATTATTATTATTTGTTCTATATTTTGAAAGTTTTATTATTATTATTATTATATGTTGGTGGATTGGTTTAGAAAAACTAATTTCATATACATTTTTTTTTCATGGATTCAAAATAGTTGATAAGAAAATCCTTGTGTCTTTGCTATTTATTTACACATTTTGTAGCTTACTTATTTGATCTGCTTAAGATTGTAAGGGTGATCTTTGCAATGCAGTGTAGTTGCATCAAATTTATTTGGCCGTTTTAGTGGGTGTATTATTCATCGCTTAAAAGTTTGTATAGTATCAAAAGATGAATATTCAGAGAGAGCATCTCAGTTGGTGATAATATTATGACATATTCAGTTAGGTTTGTAATGAATTATGGATTTCATGACTCATATTCTTCATTTTATTAGTTTATCCTTGCATATAATATGAGTTATGTATATGAGGTTTGTATTTAATTTGGAACAGAAATTTGGGCTGAACTTGAGCAATTTTGATTGAAGTGCTGCTCATGAATTTATCTTACTTTATTCTAGATATAATTTGCTTCTGTCGTTTAGCTCTTTGGAAGTGTGGATTTGTGGTGTAGAATGTTCTCGTGTATGAATTAGCTGTTATTAACTAAAATTTCACTTTTCAAACATTATTTCTTTGTTGTTTTCTCTAAACTCTCTATATGTCTTGTAATGCATGATGCGATGTCTCTGTTGGTCTGGTCTATAGGAAGACGTTTCTGCTAAGCTAGCAAGCACTGCCTCAACTTTTTGCTTATGATGTATCAACAAATTCAATTAATAAGTGATATTTTATTGTTGTCAATTATGCATTGTTATCTACCAAAAATTTTATTCTATAATCATTACTAGATTTCTACACGGATGCAGACATCAATACTGGATTAATCCTAACGGAATTTTTCTTGCAGATTTGATTAGTCACAGAAGTATGGCTATAATTGACATTATTTCAGGTATGAAAATTATAAAAATCACTAGCAAATATTCCTTTCATATAGGCAGTGAAGCAAAAGTGTAATCAAACTTGTGTTTTGGCAATATAGTTGTGGAGATTGACCTTTCTTCATTTGTTGCAGTAGCCATGTTTGAACTTATCGCTAGCTTAAGTCCAACTTATTATTTGTCAATTGGTTTGTACAATAGAGATTGTTCACTAACTTTATGATTGCTTGTGTTGATGATTTGATAAGTTTCTTCACATTGAGTGTAATGAGTAATCATTATAATGACGTGTTTTCATATCATGAGCCAGGCAAAGTGTAAGGAGCTACATGCATTTATTTCTAATTTGTGAGTCTTTAAGTTTGTTGGTTGATTTATGAAAATCCAATCTACTGCATGGATTTATTTTGTGATTCTTGAAAATGAATTGTTTGTTTTTTCATTATTTTGTTTGTGGGAATTTGTCTGCCCAAAAATTATGGAGCTTGGGAATTTACCTGTGTTGTTTGAACATGTTTGTTTGCACGTGAGCATAATCAATTTATATTGCTCACAACTAAGTTGAATGCATTTGAGAATAATATCATGTATATGCTCAAGAATCAAGCTGACTAACTACATCAATAGTTAAAGAAATGGTTCCGTGTTTTTTAAGCTAAAACCTTGGCTTGACTATATCTATAAACTACTTTCTTTTAATTAGCAGAAAATATAATCTATTTTTTTACGATAAAGTTTGAGATATCTTGAATACTGAAATGCTACTTAATAATCAATTCAATACTTCGCTCTCATGAGTACATGATATTCAAATCTATACATATCACAGGTAGACAGGCTTCAGACGAAGCAAGGAAGATGACCCTGATGTTGGGTTTGTAGTTTTGAAGATTGTCTTTTTACCTCCTAAGTCACTTGTATTTTTATTTCTTGTTTTCGCCTAAAATATGGTTGGAAATTTTTTAAGGGTAGAGACAAGGCATTTGCAGCTGATGGTGACATTGTGTCCATCTATAATATGCTGAAAGAAGATAGAATAATAATTTCCTTGTCTATTATATGGGTACACATAACCCTGTATGGATATGTATAATATGTGATACACTGAAAATCATTGCATCACTACCTCTGTGACATTGCTATAGTTCAATTCCAAAAGTTGAGTCGTACATCTTTGTCTG